GTGCATACTTGGATATTTCCTTTTTATGTGCATTGTAGCCACTATTCAATTGTGTATGCATTTCATATTTCATTTTAAAAGGGTTTAAGGATGTTAGGTGAGTATTTCAGTGACTGAGTAATTTTTTTTTCACATTGGACTTTGAATTTGGATAGTTTTTGTTTGTTTTCCTTCTGACATTCAATTAAAAAGTGTACAAGGTAAGTGATGAAAGATTGAAAGTCTGGATTTGGAATTTACAAAAAGGGATATTCAATTATTATGAAAAATGATTAATGTATTGTAAATGGTAATGTGAAATGTTGTATATTAACAACTGTGATGATCTATGTAGTTTTTCATATTTGATGAATCATAAATTGTATACGAATGTAATGTAAAACTGTAAAGTAATATAATGAAGGAAGATGTGCAACTCTTAGAGTTTGGACAAACATAGGCTGAGATAGGGGTCATTTAGTTCAGCAAGATATCACCATATTTCAATAAAGGCCATTGGTTTCTCTTGAAACTCACAAAATACCCCAAAAACACTATGACCCGAATCGGTTGCAAACGAAATAATTTCACAATATGACACAAATGGTTTATCTCATCAAATGTGCAAATACTGTAAAACGGGTAATTTTGACACCGGGAAATTTAAGCAATTTTTGAATTCTAGGGGGTTTTAAGTGCGGGAAATTTTAGCGAAATGAAGATTAATCTTTAAAAAATCAAATTAGCGAAATGCATTAGAAATTTTATCATTTATGGCAGAAGAATGAATAACGGACATGACAGAGGAATGATCAAAATGTAAGACTTCTAACACACATGGTATTGGTCCAAACTGGATGGATGGCTATTTATCCTTCAGATATTGAAAGAAACATACGATTGAAAAATATTTACCTTTTTCAAATTACAAACCGGAAGTCGAGCACTGAACGAAAAGCTCATTAAATACTAGTATTCAGGTAGTTTCCCGGGAATTTGCAAATTTTAGCGCCCGGTTTATTTTAACCCTGGTTTATTTTAGCGAATTGAATTTTTAGCAGAACTATAGAGATCGCTAACAATCGCTAACAATTACCCCTGGCTAACAATACCTGTTTTACAGTATAGAGTTTGGAATCGATTCAAGTCATACTTTATATTAAAAGATTATACATTTTCTCGTACAAAATGGCTATAGAAAAATGCTCCAAAAGCAACTTTTACGCTTGTCAAATATCATACAACTTTGTAAATCCAAAGATTATACTACTACATTGCATTATTTAGTAACATATTTGGATAAGATGTAGAGATGTGTAGAATTCAAATGGATGACAGACAAAAAAAGACTTCCTGGTTTTAGTAACATGGTTGAATATTGATCCTAATAACTGGCATTACAGTGTTGAATATAAGTCAATAAGATACTAGTATATACAGGGTGTCAAAAAAGTCCCGTCCCCCCTGCTACAGCTAAAACCTTAATAGACAGTACCTAGTGTGACATACCATTGGAAAGATCATCAAAAGTTATGTTAACTCACCGACTCTCAAGTATTTTGAATGAAATTTACCTATATTTTTATGATGTCCTTTATAGTTAATGTACCCTCCTTTAAGCAGCTTTTTTGCGTCAAAATAACAAGGATATGACCTCAGAAATATGTCAAAAAGTTAATGTTTTTCACTTTCCACTTGTTACAAAAAGGTTTTCACCACTTTCCTTGCACCTCTTTTTTCTACACATCTAACCCTATCCAGAAATTGGTTTAATTCATTGCCATGTACATATATAGTCATCTTTTGGTCATTTGACCTTTCTCATACCCGATTCTTAAAATCCTGCCAAATACGCCAAATTGCCAGGTTTCTAGGCCTATGGTCACCTCAATTGATACAATGTAAAAATTTGTGAGATTGATTGACATGTGTCGGATGTATGCTAATCAACGTAACTTTGAAAGACCTTTCCAATGATATAATTATCACACTTGGTACCAAATATTTTGGTTTTGGCTGTAGAGGGGGGGGGGGGGGGGACAGGACTTATTTGACACCCTGTATAATAATAAAAGCAGTTTATTCATTTTCAAAAATCAGATGAATTAATTTTTTTCATGGAGAGATCATAATGGAATCTGCACTACTTCATTTATGACTTATTATAATACTCTGACAGATTTTTTCATGTCACCACCAAAAGTGATGCCATATTATTGTAGTGTTTGAAAAATATAAACCTCTGATCAATTTGAATAGTTAATGATACTTGTAAAATCATTTTTTCAAAGTGTAAATCACAGTTTAAAATGCAGTTTGAAAAAACATTAAGAAATGTAATCTTTTAAATAAAGATGTGCGATTGTGTATATTATTATTATAATTTGTGGTGATCTATGTTGTATTTGAGCTTTGATTAATTGTAAACTGTATTACAGTATGATTATGCAATGTAAAGTAAAATAGCAAATAGTAATTTGAATGTTTTTTTCCAAAAGTGTAAACACAGTTTGAAATAAGTATGAAAAATGACTGAGATATCATTAATAATGTGAGATAGTGTATATTATATTATTTGTGGTTATCTATGTTTTTTATTTGATGAAGTAAAATGTATAAGAGTATGATAATGTAATATAAAAATGTAAAGTTATTTAACAAATAGTAATCTGTGAAAAAATGTAACTTTTATCATCGAGATATAGTAAAAATTTTAATTGTTTTCCAAATAATGCTGTAAAAGTATAAAGGTGATTTGAAAAATTATTGAAAATGTACAATAACATATTAAATTTTGTTTTGAACTGTTCAATCTGACCATTTTATTGTATAGTAGATGAAGTAATTCTTTGTTTAATGCCAACAGAAGTTGTTTATTTATAGTATTATAGCCTGTTTATGTCACCTATGAAAGTGATGACATATTGTTATACCCTCTTAGGCACACTGTTGACTCCAGCAGTGAGATATCAACAAGACTGAATGATTTCTTGTTATCCCACCAAATGAAATTTGAGGGGGATATAGGGAACTGCTAGAATCTACAACTATTTTTTATGTTATGAGTACTGGCTGGACATTTTAATTTTTTCTTCAAAGTTAATTGTAATGACTTCAGTATAAATGATTTGTCTCTTGGTATTACGAGTATGGTGTTGGATTATGATATCAATACTTGAATGGTGGGGAGGGGGTGTTTCTTTCGGTTTCTTTTCATGTTGGACATTGGGATAGTTTCGGCTTGGTTTGTTTTCCTTATGATGGTATACTCTTAGTCTTAAATTTTTGTCCCTTGCTCTCTGGGTTTCAAACTTACATTTTTATAAGCTCACATGATAAGCTTTGGCAATCACTCACTTTTCCATCTGTCCGTCCATAAGTCTGTCTGTTCGTCCGTCTTTAAAACCTCTGTTAATAGGATTCCTGTTTTAAGTTATCTTTGTTCAACATTAATACAGAAAACCCCCTATAACTGCTGGTTCAAAACTCACCCTTTGTGCAAAATGGCAACCATTTTAATCTTGTAAAGTTCACCAATAGATTAATTTGTTTTAAATTTTCTGTCAATACGATGACATCATCAATCTAACAATCATCACAGCTTATTTGATGTACCAATATGTGGCAGGGTATATTGGAAAGGTCTCTTACATGTGCAGTTCATATTTCATTTAAAAAAGGGTACAAGGTAAGTGACGTAAGGTAAGTATACTGAGATGAGGATCTGGACCTCATTGGAATCTTTTAATATGCATTCCAGCTATGGTATAATGATTGAGAAATAGGAATAGCCATAGTTTGTTTTTTTACCTGATGACCATTGTGAATTATGGTATTTTATAGATGGTGGCAATTGAGTATGGCTTTGTGAATGTTTGAATTGCCTATGGACTTCAAAACTTGATTTTATCTATCTCACATCATTTGAGTTTGAATGCAGCAGTGTGATATCCAGCAGTGCAATATCAACAAGATTGGGTGATTCTCTTGTTATCCAGCAAAATGAAATTTGAGGAGGATAGAGAACTAATGGTATACTCTTAGTCATAATTTTTTGTCCCTTCCTGTCTGGGTCTTAAACTTACATTTTACTAGATCACATGGTGCAATCACTCACTTGTCCGTCTGTTCGTCCGTCAGACTGTCTGTCCATTCGTCTGTAAAACCTCTGTTGATAGGATTCCTGTTTTAATAGCATCAATACAGAAAACCTCCTCTGACTCATGGTTCAAAAGGCACTGTTCAAAAGGTAGCCTAATTTCAAAATGGCCAACATTTTTATCTTGGAAAATCCCCTTTTAGACAAATTTGTTTGAAATATTCAGTCGATATTGAGAGCCCTTAGTACTTTGTGTATGTTATTATGTCACCACCAAAAGTAGTGACATATACATAAATATATACCCATGATCAATGTTAATGGTTATGATAGTTGGGAAGTTATATTTTTCAAAGTATTGATTATATTTCAAAAGTAAATGCAGTTTGAAATGAATATGAAAACACATTAAGAAATGATTAATTTAAATGATAATGTTAAATTGTGTGTTTGTGTATTAATTGTGTATTAACATGTTTAGTCATCTATGTTGTTTTTTGTATTTGATGAATTGTATTACAGTATAATAATGTAATGTAAAAAATAATTTATAAAAATATATTAATAATATTGTTTAACAAAATTGTGACCATTCAAAAGATGGACATTGCATCAACAAATATACCTTGTAAGATTTATTTATGCCATCACCAAAAGTGGTGACATATATACATAATAGATTTATACCTCTGATCAATGTGAATAGTCATGGTAGTTGTAAAGTTGTATTTTTCAAAGGAATGATTATTTCTTACAAGTGTAAATGCAGTTTCAAATGAGTATGAAAATGTATTAAGAATTGATTAATGTGAATAATAATGTGACATTTTGTATATTAACTTGTTCAATCTTCTATGTTTTTTTTCATTTGATGAATTGTAAATTGTATTACAATATAATATGAATTTAAGTACATAACAAAAAATAATATATACAAGGGCCGAGCAATATATTCGCTACTTTTTGCTCTCAAATTGTTAATAATAAAGTATCTTACCTGAAATTTTCCAAAATAATAGAAAAAACATTTTTCTGTAATATCACCAAATGTGCATTTATTTGGTTACATCCGTAATATTTTACATGGCATTGAATATTGGTTGATAGTGACCACCGGAGCTGACATTTGTGACAATGTTTCAGAAAACAACTTTTATACAAAATGTCCTTTTTGTTAATTAAGACAGTTACTCCTCATTCCATGCCTCATTCTCAAAATAGTGTCCATCTGCAGCTATGCATTTTCTACATCGGGAAAGCCAGTCTTGATAGGCCTGTTGCGTTTCCATTTCCATAGAGGTCTTTTAGGGCCTTATGGACGGCCTCAACAACTTCTTCACGTTCACCAAACCTCTGCCCGCGTAGCTCATTCTCATCAACTGAGTTGCGTCCAAGTTCAAACCTTTTAAACCAATGTCTAATAAAGTAATAGCTCCCACAAGCTTCCCCATATGTAGTTCTACAGTCCTCCACAGCTTTTTTTAATGTGTGTCCCTTTTTCACTGATATTTTTATACAAAGTCTCTGTTCTTTTAGATTTGCATTTACCATGCTTGCTTCTTGATGCAACTCAGGAAGCAGAGTCTCCCTTTTGTGATGCATATGCGGATCAATTGTGACCTCTTTATTGTTTGAAAAGAACATCTATGACATCACAACCATTCTTCTGAATATTGGATCAATGTCCAGTAAGCAATGTTTATAAAAATTACCCAAACTGAATGTTTTTGTTATGAGAAATGGGCATATAAAGATATTGTTGCATGTGCAATTGCAGTAAAATTATGGGCAGCTCCGGTGGCTCATTCCTCCCGTTGCTATGACAACCATAATTTTTTGCCATATTTGGCAATGGGCTTGAAAATGGAATCAAAAGATGCGGAATTCTACACTCTATGTCTGTACCAAATTTCAATGGAAATAAACAAATATAAAAGAAAATAAAGCAAAAAGTAGCGAATATATTGCTCGGCCCTTGTATATATCCTCATGTCTAGTTTTTAAATCTTTTCATATTTTGTTTATCTTTTTATCATTATATGACTTATAATATAACTTAAAACCGTAAGCGATATTAATAAATCAAATATAGAAAATATATAATATATATGTATATTACCTTGTTAAACCATTGAATAATATATAATATGTCATAAAGCGATTCTATGTATCAGTTCTTTGAAAATGTAAAATACTGAAACTTGTAATGGCTATATTTTGTCTTTGTATCCTTTATTTTCTTTGATAAATTTATAATATATTGTACTAATAATGTGCAAAATATATACCTTTGATCAATGTGAATAATCATGTTAATTGTAAAATCATATTTTGAAAGAATGGTTATTTTTCAGAAATGTAATCAATTAATGATGTGAGATTGTGTATATTTTATTATATTATTAGCAGTGATCTATATAGTCTATTTGATGAAACATAAACTGTACTACTATATATTGTATTGTGATTTAGTTCTAAGGTGGTTGGAAATGAATTGAGGTGAACTTGTCCAAAGGGCCATGACCTAGATATTAATCCTTGACCTTAAAATGAGCTTGGCCCACAAGTATTATTAACTTTGACCTCAGGTCACCTAAACATGAGTCACCAAAGGTGACAGTATCCTTCAAATGCCTAAATATGGGTTGTCAAGGGTCACAACAGTCCCAAAAATTATTAAAACACCAAATACCAATTTGACCTTGACTTCAAGACACCTAATCATGGGTAGGTTAAGGGTCACAGCACAGACCAAGAGTTTTGAAAAGCCAAATACCTTTATAGAGAACTTGCAGATCCAGTTAGTATGTTGACCAAGATTGAGGGGCCAAGGTCAAAAGGTCTAGGAGATGTCCAGACAGACCGACCGACTTACCAACTGACTGATCGACTGATCAATAGTATGGATCGATTGACCAACATGCTTTACAGTAAAAAGATTGGTCCTTTCCCTTTAGCAGTTGAGCTATCACAGTCCTTGTCTAACCATTTCTCTTTTATATGGTAGTTATATAACCTTGTATTACATGCCTAGCGAAGCATTTGTATGGGAGTCAATGGAGCTGAAGATCCATTATGTATTCCTGAATAGCCACCAAACTTTTTACCATGACAATCTTATGAAATCATGTTTCATTTCTTCTAAAATTCCATTCACACACAGATGTGTGACGTAATATAGAGTAGCCATGGACATAAATGTATGTAATACAAAAATTATGTCCATATCATTGAATATATGGCTTTGGTGTGTTGTAAATATAGCCCTCACTAGTTTTCCTAGGTAAGGCTAAAACGATTAAGTCAATGAAATCACTAGGGAAAGTATATATACTGTATGTAAGGAATATGTATTTAGAACAAACTTGATTACATTGTACACAATTGAGCTAATTGTCTCATTAGTTACTATGCATATATATTATTCTTTCTAGCTATGGCAAGAAAACCGAAGTGTATGAGCAGGAGGGCTGCTATGGTTAGGGCCAGACTTGGCCTGAAGAAGGTACAGTATAAGCGATGGGAACCATTCTATCTGGCGACATGTCATCTCGACCCCAAATCAAATCAATCAAAACCCTATGAAAAATCAACCTCTACATATTAATTTATTGACAAACCTTATTCTATAATGTAATGTTAAAGTTGTATATTTAATTCTGTGTCAGATATCAATATTTAACTGTTTCAATTATTTAGGGAATAATAGATGATGTTTTTTTGTTTAGAGAACACAATAACCTAACTAATGACCTGATCTGACCATTCTCTATGAAACACATTGGGAAATGACACTAACTTATTTTGGAATATGGAATAATTATAATTTTTTTAATTCATTACTTAATGTACAATTACTGTTATTAAAATACAACGACAGAAATAAAAATATATTTCCAAATGATCTATATTTTTTAGAAACTTGCTTAATCAATGATTGGTGACACTTAGATGAATTACTACTGACCAACTGTGGATCTAATATTGCAAAAAAATGTTTATATAAAATTCCATACAATTTGCTTAATAATTATCATACTGAAGTAAAGCTTTAATGGAGTCCGAATCTGAACTTTTCTGATCGTGAATTCAATTGTTAATTTGTGATATACTTACGTTAAAGCCATTTCTTAACTTTTCCGTATATTTCTAAATCATTGTAAATTTACGATTATTCTGTATATTTCTAGGACACCTATTTACCTGTTCTAAATTTACAATTTGACATAATCAAAATAATGTAGCCGAATGCAAGTATTATATTATATTACGAATATTACGAAACCCAATATCAATAGCTTCATGCTTATAAATAGTATTTTACATATCACCCAATATTCATAAAATAAGAGGTAATTTTGTAAAGATGCTATACTTTTTTTTGAGAATCCAAAGACAAGCGCAATGTTATCACGTCACACCCTGTGGCAAGATCATTGTCCAAATTGCTGTAGTTTGCGATGTTAAACACAGAATACGACATCTCCTGTTAGGATAAGTTTAGGGAATAATTCAGAATCGGTTTTAAACTTTATCAGTATAGTTGTCCTGTCATAAATTATTTACGGCAGAGATTTACGGAAAAGTTCAGATTTGGACTCCTGGGTGAGTTTCACTGCGTTGGATTGATTTGGGGCAGAGATGACTTTTTATTGCACCCTTGGGTGCTATATTGTGATCAGTTTGCTAGGCGTCGGGTGGGCATCCCTATAAATCTTGTCTGTAGGTTTCCAGCCAAACCATTTAAGGGATTCACCTGAAAATTTCAGGAATGTTTCTACCGATGAAAGTTTAGAACTGATCAGTTTTTCATCATTCTGGATAAATGTAAAGGTGGCCATTTTGGGTTTCCGTTCTAAAATCTTGTCTCTCAAGGCTTGTTTACAGGTTCACACTAAACCGTTTGAGGGATTCATTTGAAATTATCAGGGATGTTTCTACCTATGAAAGTTTAGAGCTGATAAGTTTTTTCGACATTCTGGGTAAATGTTAGGGTGACCATTTTGGATTTTCCATCCAAAAATCTTGTCTGCCAAGGCTTGTCTACAGGTTTCGCGCCAAACCATTTGAGGGATTCAATTGAAATTTTCAGGAATGATTCTACCTATGAAAGTCTAGAACTAAATGTTAAGGCGGTCATTTTGGATTTTCTGTCCTAAATTCTTGTCTATCAAGGTTTGTCTAGAGGTTTCCAGCCAAACCATTTTCATGGATTCATCTGGATATTTCTACCTATGAAAGCCTAGAACTGATTAGATTTTTGAATTCTGGGTAAATGTTAAGGTGGCCATTTTGAATTTTCTGTGCTAAAATCTTGTCTGTTGAGGCTTGTTTATAGATTTCATGGATTCATCTTACAATTTTAGAGATGTTTCTATGGAGAAAATGTTAGAGCTGATTAGTTTTAGGCAGTCTTGGTAAATTATAGGGTGGCCATTTTAGATTTTCCATCCTGAAAACTATTCTATTCAAGGGTGCAATTCTGTTCACTCTGTGTCTTGTTTGATTTAATTATTGAAAGCAAATAAAATATCGATTTCAAGATATAAAAAATTATAATTAAATCATATCAATATGGCTTGTTTTGTCAAAGTATAATACAAAGCTTCATGATTGAGAGAATAGTATAATTTCACCTTCCAATATCTATGATATTTAAAAGTGGGTAATTTGTGATTTTTCAAAATGAAAGAAATTAATAACCAACAAAATATACCAGAAGTACAGTAACCTCACTTGGGAAATTTCACATTTGTGGGGATCATGAATTAACAGACTCAAGATTGACAAAAGATAAAAACATTATCTTATTCACTAAGATAATTTTGAATTGATAAAATTTTGAGTACATTACTGTAGAAGAAGAAAATATTACGAGGAAAATATTATAGCGAAAAATAGCGTCAGGCTTTGACCCTCATAATTAATCCCGCGAAAGTTTATTAAAACTTACTGAAATCATGAAACGCCAGAATGTTAAACCGCCTCGTCGAAGTTTTATTGCTAAATTAGATGGTTACGTACCGGGGAAACCAAATATGATGACTGTATGAGTAATTAAACAATCAAGGAAGCATAATTAGTATTAGAATGAATATTCGAAAGTATATGAACTGTCAGGAGCTTTCATTTAAACACAGTAAGTTAGCGTGAATTTGTAACTCTATTATCGCTCACACAGCGATAAGCCTTAATGATTTCGGGAATCAAGCATTAAAACCTTGGCTAGAACAAATGGGCTTTCTAGGCCTAGTTTGACATGAAATTATTGAGCTCTTGGACCGTTATAATTTCTTCTCACGTTTTTTGATTTTCGTTATAATTTGTTCCCGCAATAATTTCTTCTACAGTAATTGAAATCCTATGTAATATTTAGAGAAACATTTTCCAAATTCTGTCATTTTAAATAAATTGATATCTTAGCAAGTTTAAACCATTGCTTGCAACAGAATCATTCCATTAAAAAGAACCTTTTCTAAATAGTCTGGGGTTTAAAATAATCGGTCCTTTAATACAGAATTGCAATGAAAAATTGTCTACTATGATGAAGCAAGCTAGTTTTCATAGTACAAGTAAAATGTAACCTTTGAACAAATTTTTTCATAGTTCTCGTGAACAATTATCCAAGTACCACCCTTTGTAAAAAGTATTTTTTGTTCTTTTTTCAGGCATGTGTAGTTGGTAGTAGGTCCGAAAGTAGTTGTAGGTCCGGAGCACCTGCGCTATCTCGAATGGCATCGAGGATAAATAAAACCATTGCCTGCGGGACTAGCCCCCCAAAGAATAATGCCTTGGCTTGCGGGAGTGGCATCCCAAAGAATAACACGTTGGCCTGCGGGACTAGCCCCCCAAAGAATAATACCCTGGCTTGCGGGAGTGGCATCCCAAAGAATAACACGTTGGCCTGCGGGACTAGCCCCCCAAAGAATAACACCCTGGCTTGCGGGATTGGCATCCCAAAGAATAACACGTTGGCTTGCGGGAGTGGCGCCC